TTGTTAGTGATTTCACTATATTAAATGGACCCAAGCCTGGGACTGAGGTGCAGCCTGGGACCCTGAGTGGGAAAGGCTTGCTGGGCCTCATGGGTGTGCATGGATTAGAAAAGCTTCGTTCAGGCTTGAGTGATGGAGCTGCTGGATGTTGAGTTCAGTGTGAGTGAACTAATTGTACATATTAATCAAGTGTCCTGAAACATAAGCATAGATGATCAGGTTATATATTGATCTGATGATAAAAATGCTTGAAAACTTGAAGGATCCTAACTGTTTCTCCAAGGAGTAATGCTTAAGTACTGACCGAGTCACTGTTACTGGCAGCACTGTAGAACAGAGCTACTTCAAGTGACAAGAAGCAGCTGTGCGTGTGTGTGATGTAGCATGGGTGTGTATGTGTGCATCTGTGATGCATATGTGTAAACACGTATACGTACTGTGCATATAATTATGTGCAGCTATCTCTTGGTACCCAAGAGGACTTGATTCCAGACCCTCTATCCCACAGGCATCCATATCTGCAGATGCTTATGTGGAATAACACATTTGCATAGAACCCACGCACATCCTTCCACGTGCTTTCTGTATCTCTAGGTCACTCATGATGCTGGTGTCTGGTCCCGATGGAGATGCTGTGTGAGCAGTGTTCGGTGTGTTGGTTGGAATAATGACTCGAAGGAAAAAGCAGTCTGTGTTCAGTGCAAGCCAGTGTCGCTGACCATTCCCACCCCACATGTAGAACCTCAGGCACAGAGGCCAACTATGGCTCGCTGAAGCCGGGGTGACTGACTTCAGTGTAAGGACTTTACCTAACATAACCCTATGGTCAGGGCTCCCCATAGGAACCAGGAGGAGGGAACAGAGCCCAGGCTCATCAGCATCTAGGAACCTGTGCCTGAGCCTTGGTGAGGTGACCCAGAGGTACAGTCCTCCTGTAACCCTGTGGGACCCAGAGAACAGAGGGGAGTCCTGGGGAGAGAACGATGAGGTGAGGTGGAGTCATCTGGGGGGCAGGCCTGCCCAATTCCACCATTTGTTCCTGTGCTCGCTGTGGTAACCGAGCTCAACTGTCAGCTCGAAAGATTGGATTGAGAAGCGTGGAGGAGATTAGCAACGCACACTTTTGTGTGTCTCAGGTGATGTTTCCAGAGAAGGCTCTGGCTAATGGGCGCATTGTGTCCTTTCCTGTGGTGTTGCTGAGAGTCAGGCCTAGGCAGAAGTAGGCTGTCATCTGTGTGCCTCAGAGACTGTGTCTTGCCTTGAACCCTTCCTGTTTTCCCTTTTCTCTGCTTCCTGCCACCATGGTATGTGTGGCTCTGGTCCACCACGCCCTCCCTCCATGAAAGGCTGACACCTCCGAGACCATGAGTCCGATCTCTCCTCTTAAGTTGTTTATATCAGGCAATCTGTCACAGTGACTGGAAAGCTAACACAGTGACAGTTAGGACAGGTCCTCACTGTGTAGCCCAGGCTGGCCTTGAACTCCCTAATCTTTCTGCTTTAACTTCCAAGTGCTGGGCTTACAGGCAGTAGTACTATCGTGTCCAACATGGTCAGTGTTTTTCATTTCATCTGTGCTAATAGATTCACAATTGTGCTCCTTTTCTGTTACTCTGACGGAATGCCTGAGATACACAAGGTCTAGGAAGGGCAAACTTGCATTGGCTGGTATGTTCAGAGGTCTAGGGTAGTTATCTCCTCTGCGTTTGGATCTGTAATGGCAACAGAGATCATGGAGGGAGTGTATGGTGGAGCATATTAGCCATGAAGCAACGAGAAAGACAGGAAGAGACAGGGTTTCCAGCATGTGCTTTAAGGGCACGCCCCCAGTGACTTCACTTCCTCCTTCTGGACTCTGCCTACTGGTGGCTGCACCACAGGCTGGTGACCAGGCCTGTGGCACATGGTCCTGGCGAGGACCCTCACCAAGCCTTAGCATGGTTTCTCATCACTGTTTAGTCTGCTCTTCTCCAGTGGCGGTGGCACAGCCATCTTCTCACTGGCTTTCTTGCCATCCATCGATCCACTCCAGTGACGAGGCTGATCAAGTCTTTTTGTACGCCTCTTGTAATTGAGTGAGTTGTTTTTCTGCTCATGAGTTTTGAGGCTTTTAAAAAGGCATCCCATATAGACATTGTTTCTTCACTTGGCTTTCTTCTGTGCAAAGCAAATGCTTGTCATGCAATCATTCCTCACATGGTGTTCTCCCACTGGGCCTTTTCGGGGGGCAGAGGCTGACACCCTCTGAGGCCATGAGTCTGATCTCCTCTAGGATGCCACTGGAGAGCATGAATTCTGTCATCCTGGCTTGGGGTCAGGTGCAGGCCCCTTTTTGTGGCCAGGGCCAGACAGTGCTGTATTTGACCAGACGTGGGAAACATGCCTCCCTATAGCAAAACAGTGAGAAAGGAGGTAATTCTCCAAGAGAAACTGGTACTGAAGCCAAAAACGGGGGAAGGGTACCAGACGGGAGCATGGGAGAAGCCAGTGAGCGCTCCTAACGTGTACCAGGCTCCAGACAAGGCCGTAGCCCTCCATTGTCATACTTGATTCTCATGGAGGCTGCGTCTCCATTCCAGAGGGAAGGACACCACAGCCAGAGAGGCCAGCACCTTGTGAGTGTCCCACAGCAGCACAGCAAGTGTCTGCCATCTTCCAGCCCTGAGCCCTCAGGACCGGTGTGGGACAAGCCTTGTGACAGTCTGGCCTGTGCCTAAAAGCACTGCATCAGTTGTTCAGGGTTTCATTCCTGCAGAGCAGTCGGTGTGCTGCAGTCCAAGAGCTTCAGAGACTGATAACAGGAGTCCAGGAGGTGAATCACAGGCGAGGAGGCTCTCCATGTGTGGGAAGGTGCCGTGCGTTGATTTTAAGAAAAACAAAATATTTGGCAGTCTTTCTTAGTATTTTTTATTTTCCTTTTAATTTTTAATGATAATGTCCTTTGCAGCCAGCTAGGCAAATTTTTGCTTGTACATCTCAGGGACAGGGACCTTTAATACTGTGTTTTCACTTTCTAGGCCTCAGTTTACCCAACTAGAAGGTGAAGTCATTAGCTTAGCTGAGTTGTACCGTTTCTTTCATTTTTTAACTTCTTCAGTTTCCATCCCCAGCACCATTATGTGTGTATATGTATATATGTGTGCATATGCACATGTAAATATCATACGATATATGTCTATCATATGTCAATCATATATATCACACACACTTGGACTTGATCACTACATGTGATATGCATACATCAGACTATCATACCATACCCCATAAATATGTACAAGTAAAAATGATAAGCTATTTTTATTATAATTATACAGGTTTATTGTAATTATACATAGCTCTCTGTGGACCAAATGGTAATTACTGGCTCAGGAAACAGGTGTCTGTAGACTTAACTTCAAGCTGAACTAGATACTGTCAGATTGCATCCTTGGAGTTTCCTTATGTGGCTTCATTCTCAGGCTGACCTCACCGCAGACATGGGAAGGTGGCCCCTGCAGCCTCAGAAGAGGAGCACTGGTCTTTCTCAAGAGTTAATGCTAGAGTCCCAGGGCTGAGGCTTACTGACCCTGATTGGTCCAGCCCAGTTCGCCTCTTCCAAGACACCCTGGATAGTCCCGCCTCTGTTTCTAAGGGGCTGGGCAGGATGGAGAAGAGGGCTCCCTGGAGAAAAGTCAATGTGCTGTGGTAATCACTGCGAGCCAGAGCCAGCAGGGACCCACTGCTGTCCCCACTGAGGTATATGCCTGCCTTCCAGCAGATACCTCAGTTTCCCCAAATTTGTTATCAGTATATTGTTTCCTGTGTGTATCATAACATGTGACCAAGGTCAGAGACGTCCTCTGGTTGCTAAGATGATTCATGACCTTTATTTTTTTTAGGCTTTCATATAGCTCAGGAAACAGAGGAGGCAGATGCTGTTAGCCTACTTTACAGTTGAAGAAGCTGAGACTCAAGAGACTTCTGAGTTAGCCTGAGTCCTCACTGGCAGAAACATCAGGGTGGCTGTTTTGGGGTGATTGAAGAGGTTGAGGATGCAAGCGCCCTGACTCCTCTTGATAAACGTGAAGGGTTTTTTTTTTTTTTTTGGAACTGAGGACTGAACCCAGGGCCTTGCACTTGCTAGGCAAGCGCTCTACCACTGAGCTAAATCCCCAACCCCAAATGTGAAGGTTTTAAGAATTGCTCCGAAAGAAGAGCCACCTGGGGAGTAGCCAGTCACCTTTACAGTCCCAAGAGTGGCAGCTGCCCCAAGCTGGCCCCATACCATCCCTGACACAGCTCTGCAGGCAGGGGCTATATTCCCCTTCTACTGGGGAGGGAGCTGAGACTCCGAGACAGCAAGGGACTGACTGGTCCGGCTGGTCCTTGGCCAAGCTGAGATTGAAATTCAGGGTTTTTCTGCCTCAAACTCCTCCTCGGTCTCAGGGATGAAGACTTTCTTAGTCTGCTTTACGTTGTTGTAATAAAATGGCACCGGTGGGTAATTGGTAACGAATGGAGGTTTATTTCTTAGAGCTGGGAAGTCCGGCCGGGCGGTGGTGGCGCACGCCTTTAATCCCAGCACTTGGGAGGCAGAGCCAGGCGGATCTCTGTGAGTTCGAGGCCAGCCTGGGCTACAAAGCAAGTTCTAGACAGTTAAGGCTACACAGAGAAACCCTGTCTCGGAAAAACAAACAAGCAACAACAAAAAAAGAGCTGGGAAGTCCTCGATCGAGGGGCTGGCATCTGACAGGGCCTTTATGACGCTTAACTCGTGGCAGAAGATGGGAGAGAGCAGGAGGAAGATGGGTGGACTGAACTCACTTTGCTGTTAACCCGCTGGGCGTCGTGAACCCACCCTCGAGCTCATGCCTCTAACCCACTGGAGACCTCTCAAAGGTGCACCTGCCAGCACTGTTCCATGGGGATGAAATTCCCAGGACCTGAACTGGAAGAGGATGCTTTTCCAACCATGTCATCCCCCTGTGATTAACACTTGTCTCTTCTGTCCCTCCCTGCAGGTCTACATCATCCGAGTCACGTGGTCCAGTGGCACCACAGAGGCCATCTACCGGCGCTACAGCAAGTTCTTCGACCTCCAGGTAGGCATTTGTGGAGAAGGTTCATCGACTTTCCCTACACTGTGACCTGAGAGCCTTGTCTTTTCATGGCCTTGACTTTAAATTGACATCCATTACTTGGGGCATGAGTAAGGTCTTTGGTTGCCCTATGTTTTGATACATTTAACTAAATAAGAGGTGCTTGTCGGCTGCCCCTGAAGGGGGCCAGTCTGGAGGCCACACATGGCTCTGGAACCATGTTGAAGCAAGTTTTGTACAGTGGCCATGTGGTAATCCAGGATGCCGAGTCTGCCTGGACACCTCCCAGCCCAACCTGCTAGATTTTACACTACTGATTCTCACCTGGGATGCTACTCTGTGCTCTCTCTCCTACCTGACTCTCTGGCTTGGATAACTCTCTGCCACCAGTTTCTCCAGCTTCCGGAAGCCTTGTCTGACTTTGTTCTCTGCTCATCAGGAGGCATCACCCAGTGCTGTGAGCTCCTTCATATTGATGTTGTCAGCTTATCTATCTTTTCTTCTAGACTGTGACAGTCATGGTCAGGGACCATTGTCTTCCTCATCCTTTCTTTCCTTAATGGTTTTTTTTTTTTTTTTTTTTTTTTTTTTTTTTTTTTTTTTTTTTTTTGGTTTTTCAAGACAGGGTTTCTCTGTGTAGCTTTGCGCCTTTCCTGGAACTCACTTGGCAGTCCAGGCTGGCCTCGAACTCACAGAGATCCGCCTGGCTCTGCCTCCCGAGTGCTGGGATTAAAGGCGTGTGCCACCACCGCCCGGCTCCTTAATGTTTTTATTCAAGGCTTGGTACATAGCATGTGCTCACTTAGTGATTGATGCATGTTTGACATGAGTGAGTGAGGATGTGAATGAATGAATGAATGAATGAATGAATGAACACATGATCAACATGTGCCACCAGTCTCACAGTGAGCTGGGGAACATGAGGACAGCTCAGTAGGATTCATCTTCACCAGCTTGAAACAATGCTAATCCTGGGCCTGTGGCTTCATCTCCATGTCTCCAAAAGCAGGCAGCTCCTAGGAGGCTGGAGAAGTCAGGGTCCTTCAGGAGATGATGTGGCAAAGTTCTTTAGACAATGTCTGCCACAGACCTTAGGGGATGTTCCTGGCTTTCTGAACCTTTGCCCATTCTCCCTACTGTGTGGTGAGTGAGGGTCCAGGGCAAGCCTCCATCCCACACCCCATGGATGTGCGGTGTCTGCCCTATTGTGACAGAACCAACCTAGATTTGCTTTGGGTATTTTGGCCCTGTGATTGACTGTCCCAGGAGACGAAGGCTTCCAGACTCCAGGCACGGCTTACTAGGGTTTTCACTCCATCATCTGACCTGACTTCTCCTTCTGTGTCCTCACAGTGGTATTGGCTTCCTCCTCAGTCACACGTGATTGCAAATGGCTCCAGCAACTCTGGGCTCACGCTCTGTAGGAAGGAGTAACAAAGACTTCTCACATGTCCTGGCAGGCACTTTGTGTTTCATTGGCTTAGCTCTATGCCAATCACTATGACAGCCAATGGGCTTTCCTGGGTGGCTGCTCCACCCTTGGTACCAAGGGCACAGTCTGGGTTGGGAAGGAGAATCTCGGGTTCTGGTAATATTAACTGCAGGCATCCTTGACTACATAGACCCAAGCCGTTCCTGACCATGTGGACTAGAGAATGTTCGGAGCCTTGTCCCACTATAGCAAAGGAGGGCAGACAGCCATAGGCTCTTAACTGCTTTCTCAAGTGCAGCTAAATCTAATGCCTTCAGGGCACGCAGCCAGGAGTTGCTGCGTGTGTAAAGCGAGTGAGATACCAGTCACTTAATTATTGAAAACATAATGAGCTCATCTGTGATGCTTTGTGTTCAGCAGCATGCAGCCACATCTAACAGTGTCACACACAGTTATAATTTTCAGCTGTTCTGCTGCAAGTGAGCCGAATATAAATAAACAGCGGGGCTATCCGTCAAACGTGCTGTGGGGCTGGGATGCAGCTAAGTGAGAGAATACCTGCTTCACACACACAAAGCCGCGAGTTTGATCCCCGCCCCGTAATAAATAAACTAACCACCATCTAGAACGAGCAGACAGGGGAGAAGAAAACACAGGAAAAGGGGGCATGGGGCAGTGGTGATGACTGGCACCATCCAGTGCCCTGAGCAGGTGACACAGCCCCATGTGAGAGCGACCAACAGCATTCCGGGCTGCTCTGCCCTTGCACACAGACTGGTGATAATGCAGGTGACCTAGGGCTTTTGCCCATTGCTAGGCTGCTGTTACAGGCAATGGCGTCTACCTTGGGAGCTCTGCCTTGGCGTGTGTTCAGGGGCTTCTTGCCAGCCTGGCACCTCCAAGAAGGGGCTGTGGGGCTAAGGAACAAGAGTGACATGATTGTCTTCCCAGGGTTATTTACAGCGGCAGAGCAGAGCCCACTCCACTGGTTGACACATGAAGAGAGGAGTGGATTGGATTCATGGGCAGAGCAGAGTGTTGCCTGGAACCCAAAGCAAGCAGTGCTGTGACCTTGGAAGGCCCTAGCGTCTGCCGGCAGCTCCTGGCCGTCTCAGTGACCTCAGGCCCCTCTGTTCAACCTGCTTTATTTTCTCGATGGCCACTCTAGACCAGCCTCTTCGCTTGTCTGTTGGCCAACATGCTCAGGATCTGTCAAGTCAGCACGTTTCGCCTCCGTCAGCGTCTTTCCCTGCTCTCAGGGACCTGGAGTCCCTGGGGAGAGAATCTGGTGGTCTCCAGGATCCTGGGTCAGACTCCACCCCAGCCTGTCAGCTGTGGTGGGGAGCAGGTGACACTGGTCTAGGGAATGCCAGGGTGGGAGGAGCCCTGGGAATGGGAAAGTGTCTGACTACTGGCACATTGAAGCGTGTGGCTAGACTGTTACCTGAATTCCCTATTCCCGCCTGGCCCAAGGCTGAAGACAAACCCAAGTTCAAGACTCCGCTTTCCCTTTTCAGTCTCAGCTTGGTGTTACCTCGGTCTGCTTCCTCCATTTCCTCCTTTGCTTTTAATGGGAAAGAAAGTACTTCCATCATGTACTTGTTATGACAATGAGATGGACTTGACTGAGTGCGTTACCTGTCATCTGTCCCTCTCCGCAGATGTGACACCTCCCGTGACCTCCTTTGCTGGGTCTGACCACAGGTCTTCCCAACCCAAATCCTGTGTTGACTAGACCCCTGATCTCACTGATTTCTTAAAAGCCAGGTTTTCTTCCCAGCTCAGTGTGGTAATGATTGGGGGTTTGCTGGAGCAGAATTGGCTGCCTCGGGTGACCATCCCTGGCATGGTGAAGCTGTCCAGAGGCCTGGCTTCATCCAGTTTTAAGAAGTCCCAGATGGTGTGGCTGCAGGGTGGGAAAACCATGTAATTCTAGGGGCTCTGGTTCAAGCTAGAAGCAGCCTCCCCCTATCCATATCCACTCAGCTCAGCTGTCCCCAAGGACTAGGCAAGGAGACCAGCCCATGTGGGGCCACAATACCCCAACATTAGATGATTTCATGATTCCGTGTCCCATTTGGCACATGGCCTTGATTTTTTTTTTTTTTTTTTTTTTTTTTTTTTTAAGAAGTGACTTGGCTCACAGAGGGAGAGAGGGCTGAGGCTGGGCGGAGGAAGAGCCGCTGAACTGGTGTAACAGAAAAAGCAGAGACCGCAGAAGACCTGGGCCCAGCCACCCCCAGCTGTGTGGCCTTGGGCCCGCTCCTTTACTCCACTGTGTCTGAGTGCTCTCATTGGTGATGTGGGGACATGTCGGTAAAAACAGCCAGCATTTCTGAAGCTCTGTTCATGGACTCGGTCCATTCATTTCGTCAGATTACACAGACGGAAGAGCCTAGGCTCAGAGACGTCCATTCACTTGCCCAGTCACACAGCTAGTTTGACAGTACTCAGATTTGAGGCTGCGTGATACCAAAGTCCATGCTGCTAGCCACTCTGCTCTCTGTTGCCGCTTTTACTACCAGCTACAAGTTAAAATTCCTGATTGTGTCCAAAGGGGCAATCCCATGGGGCTTGGGGGAGGGGATGATGGGCAGACAGTGGCTGTAGGTGTTGGGTATCTTTTGGGGGTGCTGAAAATGTTCTAGAATTAGATAGTGGTCATGACTGCATACTGTGTAAATACACGGAAAACCACTGCGTGGTCCGTTTTAAAGGGTGGCTTTTGTGGTATGTGAGGTATAGCTCTTGAGACTATAAGAACAGGCCTGCGCTGAGTATGGAGCAGGTGCCAGCTGGGAGGGTGACTGACAGGCCCAGGCTGCTTAGAATAATCAGAAGGAGGAAGGGGGTACATGATACCAGTTTCTTGAGGTTCCAGACTTCGGAATTTGACAGCCGGGCATCAGTCCAGTTCTCACTGCTTTCTGGCCCGATGTCCGGTTTTTGTCAGACTGTCATGGCGCTGATAGGAGACCCCCGGCTAGGTTGGATGCTCCCGGCTCCTGTTTGTCAGCTGAGAAATCTAAGGACTTTTGGCTTTGGATACAACTAGGCCCAGGGCCACCATGTCAAAGACTTGTCTTTCTCCACTGTTTCTGGGCCCCATGGTGAGTTCCACGGCAGCAGCTACTGCTCCAGGCTGTGTCCAGCACATCAGCACTATTACTTTAGGGGAAAAAGAATGTCCCCTATGGCTTAAGCTCATCTTGGACCATAGGAGGAGGTGTTCAAGGCCTGCACAGGGACAGAAAAACAGGGTCAACATCTTGATAATGTGCCTGGGTACCAGCTGCTAGAGGGCATCGGGGAATCCAGAACCGTAGGTGCTCCGTCTGCTCTGGTAGGGTGGAAAATTGTAAGCGGAGGAAACAGTGTAAAGAGAGGTTGTTACTCGTGGTGGAAGGACCATGGCCCAGGCTACTTCATGGGAAAGGACACTGTCACCAGCAAAAATGTCCCCATAATAAGGACCCACCTTCCTGACTTCTTAGAAAAGTTGGACTCCTCTGGTCATGTCTGCCATTAAGACTTGACATCTAGCCATGTGTCTTGTTCATATGAGGCTGGA